GATCTGGTTGCTTAGTAACCAGTCTTAAGTGACAGAAACCCCAGCGGGCTGCTAATGAGGGGACAGCCACCAACCAACCACCTGACCAGAGCTTACAGCCCCAGCGAGCCTTAGGAAGATTTCAAAGACAGTTCCCATGGCCTGGCCATGATAGGAGGGGTGATGCCCTAGCGTTGGGGAAAGATGTATGCCAAGCTACGAAGGGACTGGGGGCCTGAAAGGAAGGTGAATCCATACTGGAAGCAAAGCTTTGACACCGAGAAGGCACTGGGCTCAGCCCAAACCACTATCCTGGAAATGGCTGTGTCTGTCCTTGCCAGGGGCACCTGGGCATGGGGAGGGAATCCCTGGAGAAAGGCTTGGGATAGGGGAGAAAGTGATTAAGACTGGTTGGGGGGCGGTTGGGGGTGGGGCAGCGGCAGGGGACAGGTCCTGAAAAGGGAGCGCTCCCATAACACCAATGGGAAAGGGTATAGCTGCTTCCTCATAGCAGGTGGTACCCTCTTCTCAACACACATTCCAGCTCCCAGCTGGTGGCCTCCTGGAGGGCACATGAGGCAGGTGGAACTCAGCCAGATGATTTAGGCAGGAAGATGGGGAGAGAGGGGTTGGGAGAGGGAGAGAGAGAGAGAGACAGAGACAGAGACAGACAGAGACACCGAGACAGAGAGCACCTGCTGTGTAGTCCACCAGCCCTCAGGAGACCTGGGTTGTAAACCCTCTTGCCTGATGTCCTGGGCACAGAACTGAGCCTTTAGGTGTCAGTTGCTCTATATTGCAATAAGGCAGGAGGCAGGCTACTATTGGCTTGAAGCTTTGTTAATATCTTGGAGGTTTAGAGTTAGTATCTTAGAGGGAATGCAGTTAGTATCTTAGAAAAGTGTGGCCAGATAGGTTTTTCTTGCTACCCCCAAGACAGAATTTCACTCTGTAGCCCAGGCTACTCTGGAACTTTTATGTACCCAGGGTAGCTTTGAATTCAGCGAGCGTCCTGATTCAGTCTTCCATGTGCTGGGATGAGCTTCAGTATTAAATTGACTCCACAGCCATGACCGGAATTAGCCCGGTGCTAGGCACCGCATCCCAGCACTTAGACAGCCTCTTGTCCTGGAGGAGGTCCTTTCCCCCAGTCTCATGGGGGAGCTGAAAACCAAGCCATTTGAGCACAGGGAGCCAAGACTAGGATGGAAGTAGTTCAGAACCTAAACAGCTCCCTAAAAAGATAGCTCAAACCAGCCTGGAGATCATGGAAGACATCCTGGAGGAGGCTAGAAGGAACCAACAAAGAAACACTGACTGGAAGCCAAGGCATGTAGGACGGCAATGAACTTCCCTTGGCTCCTGAGGCTGCTGTGGCAGGCGGACTAGAGAGGGACAACAGAGGTGACGGATCAAGTGTGGGAGAGCCACAGGAGACTCAGACTGATAAGAAATTGCATCCCAGCTTCCTGCAGAAGGAAGTCTTGGTTTGCCAGCATGCCTTTGAAAAACAGCTTACCTCGTTCAGTTGAGACCCATGGCTCTAAACCTCCCAAGTTATACCCTACTTGATCCCCTAAGGTTCTCTGAGCTCAGGCTAATGGCCACCAGCACAACACAACTTCAGGCTGTGTTTGCTTAACTGGCAGAGGGTTCCTGACCACCAGGTGCATCTGAGCCTTGTCTCAGGAGGGTTCTGAGACATGCAGTAACTCCAAGAGGGGAGATGCCACTCTTCCATTTATTGGCTATGAAGAACAGTACCCCAGCCCTCACCATGCCCAGAGTCATGGTTTGGGGCTTACTATGAACTAAGCTATGAAGTCATCAGAGCCCTGTGACATGTCATAATTCTGCTCATTGGGCTGATGTGCAAACCAAAGTTAAGGTTGTTTATTTAAGTCACACAGCTCAGAAGGTCAAACTCAGTTCACATGCCTTTTTTTTCTTTTTTTTTTTTAAGATGGGCCTTCCTCCTTGAACCCCTGATTCTGCCATCTTAGCCTCCCAAGCGCTGGGATTATAACCATCTGTCATTATGGACTACCATACCTGGTGAGTTTGCTTGCTTCTCAAATTCTTCATCTGGGTCTAAGACTTAAGTGAGACACTATTTATTAAGTGGCTGGCACAGAACCAGCTCCACGTGGGGGTGCCTCGTCCCCCACCTCCTGCCCCTACCACTGCAATCTTCCTCTGCTGGCAGGGGAAGGTGGTGCTAATAGTCTGGGTGGCCTCCCTGGAGGAGGAGATTCCTATAGCTGTATCTCAGAAGATGGAGGGAGCATTGCGTGTGTTTAGGTTTCTCTGGCTTTCTGCGTGTAGGGTGAGACAGCTCCTCTGGGGAAGGAAGGCCTTTTGTAAATAGTAGGTATGACCTCATTAGTGGGAGGGACATTGTTATTAATAACCATAACATGATGAACTGTAGTTCAGGAAGCTGACCTTTAACCTTACTTTTCTATGGAGTGATCTGTGTCAGTGAGGTGGAGGGCAGGGGCGAGGGCATGCACCTGTTTCAAGCTTGTGCTAGGATTGGAGTGCCGGGGGATAGAACCCTCTTTGAACTTTTCTGTTCTACTTTGTGCTGTATTTAGTTTTGTTTTTTTGGACAGATACTCACACCAAAGCCAGGGCTGACTTGGGACTCACTGTATAACTGAGACCTGCCTGTACTTAGTAGATCCCCATCTCTCCGCCTTCAAGTGCCAGGTTCCTTTTCCAGCACCCCACCCCCTGCCGGGTACCCACCCCCCACACACATGTTAAACTCTCTACTGTTCTGACTCCTTCGTGACTTCACCTTCCAGACAAAACATCACTATCTCTTCAAAGGCTGAAATGTTAACAAAAGCTCGTGGGGCCACTCAAGTCACCTTGAAAGGGCTGCCTTTATCGGCTATAGGCTCTGCACATGACCCGTGGGGCAGAAAGGGAAAGGCCAAGGCCAGAAATTTTGGCAATTCACAGTTGTCCAGCACTCCAGCCTCCTGCTGATGCGCAGTTTCTCACGGATGTTACTGGATGCTGACACTGTAGTCTATAAGGCAGGTGGGTGCCTGGTTCTGTTTTGTGCTGAGCAAGTTAAGGGCCAGGGAGTTGCGGGTGGCTCTCAGGCCCTCTAACCTGTGTCCTTTCCTTGGCAATCCAGAGTGTTAAAGTGATGTGAAAACGGAGCAGACAAACTGCGGCGGTGGCACCCGCCTTTGATCCCAGCACTTGGGAGGCAGGGGCAGGCGGATCTCTGTGAGTTCGAGACCAGCCTGGTCTACAGAGCGAGTTCCAGGACAGGCTCCAAAATAATACGTAGAAACCCTGTCTTGAGAAAGCAAGCTGATTAGTGGGACAGCTGTCTTTGAGAGATGTTTCTGAATTAAGACAAACTAATGGGGCTGAAGTCATAGCTGGGCCCTAGGGCCAAGGGCATGTCTTCCTTCCTCTCAACTAACAGCAGGTCAGGAGTGGGAGCAGACGCTGTGCGTAGGGAGGGATGGGCAGAGTTAGTGAGGTGAGAGCAGGAAACAATAACGTTAGAGAGGGCTCTCAGATATGGCCTGGCCAGAGCTGTCAGGGCACAGAAGCATCTTCCCGGTGTTAAAGTGTGTCTGTAAGATACAGAAACCGGGCAATCTGCATTGTTCCAACCCGTAGGGTGACTGGGAAAGCCCCAGCCCCCCCAGAGTCTCCCCTTCCCGGCCTATATTTGTGAAAAGTCTTCCAACTCTAATCCAAGAGACCCCCCCCTTGGGCGACCTCACTTCCTCTTCCTAGTCCTACCTGGAGCCCAGCCCCTCCTCCTCAGCTCCAGCCCCCCCCCCGCCCCCCCCTGCTCCCAGCCCTGCTGTCTGACTCAGGCAGTCCTGACCTGTGTGGTTCAAGGTGGTGTCCTGAGTGGTTTTGATCTGTGCCGTCTGTACCCATTCTCCTCCCTCACTGCCTGACTCCGCCTTGGTCTTTGGGCAGTCTTACAACCACAGGCATCAGATTCCTTCCAAGAAAGGAGTAGTGCTGAGGGGAGCTGGAGTCTGGGGGAACAGACAGCTGCCCCCCCCCCAGCCCTTTTCTGTAGCACATCATTTCTGCCCAGGGATGCTTTACCTTATCTGCTTTCCTGATCATGCTCTAGCCAGTTCTGGTGAGGGCGATTTGCAAAAATGTTCAGATACCCACCAAGGCCACTTGGCAACACCTCCAGAGCCTCATTCCTGGGCCATTCCCTCAACCATGGAGCCCTAATAGGAGTTGAGATACATTTATCTGTACTTTGCCTCCTTCTAGATTCCTAATGTAACTAGCACTGGTCAAGGATGTCAGTATTTTTTAATTTTTTTATTGTTAAGAGTTTTGTTAGGAGCCAAGTGTGGTGACCCACGCATTGAATCTCAGCACTTGGGGAGGCAGAGGTAGATATATCTCTGTGAGTTCGAGGCCAGCCTGGTCTACAGAGTACTGGTCCCACACAGCCACAGCTATATAGTGAAACCCTGTCTCAAACAAAGCGAAGCAAAGCAAAAACAAAACAAGGAGTATTGCTAGGTATCCCAGGCTCAGCTCAAACTCGCGGCAATTCCCCTGCAGTAGTCTCCCAATGCTAGGATTTAGCTGTACGTCACCATACTCCAATTTGTGTGCCTTGTCTTTCGAAGTCTGCCAGCCCTGCCATTTCTATGAGACAACATCACTCAATGAGGAAACTGAAGCTCTTGGAGCTTAAGTGGCAGGTCTAAGGTCACATGGCTAGAAAGTGGCAAGGAATGAATGATCTAACGGAATGACTGAATGAGAGCTATGACCGCCCTCGGGGCAGACGTTCGAGTAGCTAGGCGAGTGAAGGCGGTTCACAAAGCCAGAGGCCGGGTCGCGGGAAAGTTGATTCCACTCGGGCCTTCCGCACGCACGGCACAGGAGGGCTCAAGGGAGCGCAGGCTCCCAGAGGCACAGCCGGGTTCTGCCCCCACCCAACGGGCCGCCCCGCCCCCGCTCCGCCCCTGGCCCGCCCCGCCCTCGACCACAGACGGCGCCCGGCGGCGGCGCGAACGGCAGCGCGGAGCGTGGCTCTGGGCTAGGTGCCTGGCGCGACTTCCCGCGCAAGGCCGGCCGGACAGGGACCCGCAGCCTGGGTGGCGCTAGAAGATGCAGCCTTGGCCTCAGGTGGCAGTCGCCAAAAGCTTGGTGCTCTGAAGGTAGGAGCTCGCCTGTCCGGCGGGCGCGGAAACTTGGGCCGAGTTTGCGGGCGGCGCGTGGGCAAGGGGCGGGTGGCCATGCCCCAGGGCGCCCCTACCGGCTGGCCCCGGGACGGAGCGCAGGGGCCGGGGCCCAGGTGCTGAGGCTTTGGGTGGTCAGGCTGCGGGGCCCGGTCGTGTTGCTGCACAGACTTTGCCGGGACTTGGATGCTCCCTGGGCCTGGTAGAGCCCCGGAACCCCAGCAGTGCCCGGGCGTAGGGCTGGCGAGGAGTCAGGAGTCAGGCGGATCCCTCGGGCCTCTAGCGGGGCCGGACTCACGCGGATTGCCCGGCGCCGATTCGAGGTGGGGGTGGGGCTTGGGATTGGTGGCGGCGGGCGCTGAGGTGCCGCGGGGCCGTGGACGAGCCCTGTTGGAACAGGACCGCCTGCGGTTTCCTCGCCACCGCTTGACTCACTCTCTGGCTGCAGCCCAGGCTGTCGGGATCGCCCCGAAGGAGGTGGCTGCCCGGAGTCTGCGGCTGGACGCCCCCCCCCCAACCTCACTGCAGTCTTCGGGCGTCGATCCGTGGGGGCTCCGAGCGCGAACCTCCTGGCTTGCACACGTGTGCCTGAGCAGGGAAGAACACGGTTGGGGGTTGGGGGGTGGAGGGCATGCGTGCAGATTCGGGCCATGCACGTACGTGCAGGAACGGCTTTGCGTGCGTGGTGGCAGGCTGTGTGTCAGCCTACTGGGGTGCACGTGCGTCGCAGAACCGCGGAGAGAGAGGTCGGGGGACACCCGGAAGCCTGGCGTGTCGGTGGGGCACCAGTTCATAGTGAAGTCCGCTTGTGGGCCGCAGGCACGATGGTCATGGGCGGGGCTGGTGGAGGGAAATTTAGTGGTGGTGCATCCAGAGACCCTTTCTCTTAAACTGGGAAGCGTGGGCTGCCCCGTGTTGGATGTCTGGAAAGCTCAGAGCCTCAGCTGGCAAAGAGTTTTAGAAGACCTGACTCTGTTAGAGCTGAGAGAATACTGATGCCGGCCTCAACTCGGCTGGGATCGTGCTCTTCCTGAGGCCCCGAGGATGTGACGTGGAAATGGGAATGGACCCACGGAGTTGTTTGTTTCCCCCGAGGGAAAGCGTGGGAGTGTGGTAGGCGCTTGACCCTGCTCTGGTTTCTGGCTGCGGTTAGAACTAATGTTAAGAACTAGTAGAACTTGACATCTCCACAGAAGGATCACCGATGGCCCTGCCTTCTAAAAGTGCCTGCGGCCACCTCAGTGTTGGGGAAGCAAGGCACCTTCATTTTGGCTGCTGTGTGAGTGGGTCTGGGGGAGCTTTCCATCCTACTGACAGGACATAATGTTACCTCTACACCTTTCAGAGCCTTGGGCTGGCTCTTTGGAACCCTCACTCCTACAAAGACTCCGGAGGGTCCCAGGTGGCTGGTTCTCAGGAAGTCTCCAGGGCAAAGGGCACAGGTTGGGCTGAACCCGGGAGAGAAGGGCTCTTGAGACTGGTGGTTAGAGCGGGTCCCAAGGAGCATTGGTGGAGGTGAGACCAGAGCCAGCTCTTAATTAATCCAGAGCTCCCCAAGGATAGAGTGGGCTTGGTACCCTCTGGACCATCTAAGCCTTGTCGTAGTGCACATCTTTAATCTCAGCACCAGGGAAGCAGAGGTGGGTGGATCTCTGTTCAAGGCCAACTTGGTCTGCATAGTGAGTTCCAGGTCAGCTATAGATAAACTGTGAGACGTAGTCAGAAAAAAAAAAAAAAAGACAAAGCAAGACCAACCATAAAAACAAGCAGCAATGCAGGATGGGAACTTTCCCCTAGGACTCAGGTCCTTGTTTTCTAAGGGCCTCTGTGTTGCCATCTGCTGGGATGGGCATGGACCTAGGCCATACTACCCTTTACTTCTTTTTGTCCTCTGACTGGTCTAACTTGGAGCCCTAATAGTCATTGGCTGCTGTCCAGAAAGGAGGAGAAAGAATAGTCCCTGCTTGCTGGTGACAGAAGCTTGTGATACTTGACCTGTGGCCTACTCATACATAGGAATATTGATCCCATTGACCCTTTTCTAAGCTGCTGGGAGTTTTAGGAGGTAGGGGTGCTCACTGGAGAAGGGAGGGGGTCAGTGATAACACTAATAGACAGACAAGCCTTGCATGGAGCCGCCATAAGTTATGGATGCCCGTTGTATAAAGAGGGTGCCTGTGGCCACTGTGGACATTGATCCTCATCCTTCTTTGGACTTGACTTTGTGCTGTATTCTTTGCTTTCAAATAGAACCCGGAGGGTTATTAAGGAGAAGAGAGGGGAAGAACAGAGTGGGAAAGGCTCCAAGGGAAGAGTACCTGGGCGTTCATTTCCCAGCACTTAGTTGCCCATCAGTAAAGGGCAGAGGAAGTAGTTGCCAGCTGGGACTCTGGGCCCCTGGAGCCTCCCATCTCCCCAGGCATGCACCCCCACCCACTCCCATGTGTCATGTGCACAATCCCTGGAGATTAACACTGACACTCCTCCCTGAGCCCAGGACCATCCTGTTGGCACCACAGCACCATCTACTGGTCAGCTTTGACCCTCCTGCTGAGCTGACCCAGCTTGGGTAGGACGGGACACCTCTTGAAGGGACTGCCCTATCTGTCCAAGACTAGTTGTCAGCGGTCTGGCTCTGGGGACCTGGTTTTGAGGTTTTGCTTTTTGTGTTAGAAGAACCTAGAGTAACGTGTGGGCAGTGCAGGGATTCCGCGTCTTGGCTGTGGGAGCGGCATGAGGCTGCTGTGGCATCTTGGAAAAGGAGCCAGCAGAGACGGGCAGCCCGCTTCTGTGCCACCCCTTTCATCAGTGACTTTGCAAGGCTAGGTCTAACCTGGAGGCAGAGAAGGGAGCCAAGGCAACTGACCTTCCAGTACAGCCCAGAACCCCAAGGGAGGGCTCCTGGCAGTCACGTGAACAGAAAGTGACCCCTGCAATGGAGTGTAGACTTGTATGTAAGCCACAGTACACATACTTGTTCAACAGAGTTCTATACTTTAGAAACTATAACCAGAAACAAAAAGTAGAGTTCCAAACCTGCATTGTGGCTACTGCGTTCAGTCTGAGCGAGTGTTGCCAAGAGCCAGAATTCTTGGGTGGCAGCAAGTCAGAGAGGCCTCTACTGTTTACTTGTAGCCTGTGCCCTAAACACCTCTGTCTCTCCTCTCTCCCAGGTCATCAGGTCAAGCAGCCCGGGTTCAGGAGGGCTTGACACTTTCACAGTAATGGCAGAGAAGCGGCCCCTGGGGCCTCTGGGGCCTGTGATGTATGGCAAGCTGCCCCGCCTGGAACCAGACCCAGGGCCTGGACATGGCCTGCCCCTTTCTGCTGGCAACCAGGACTCCTGCAATTACAAGGGTGCATACTTCTCCTGCCCCATAGGGGGAACTTCCAAGGCAGGATCTGAGCGGTTGGCATCCTGGACCCCATACCCACCCTTGTACCCCACTGGTGTAGCGGGATCCCCACTCCGGGCTGACAACCTGTTGACAAACTGCCTGGTCTACCGCCCTCCGACAGAAGGCTCTGAAAAGATACAAGACTCCAGTGAGCTCCTGCCCTTTGGTCCCCAAGCTCATGCATACCCAGGCCCACCACTGGCAGCGCCCAAGCCAGTCTACCGCAGCCCTTTGTGTTATGGACTCTCCACTTGCCTGGGGGATGGGGGAGCGAAGAGACCATTGGATGTTGATTGGACGCTGGTGACCGGGCCCCTGTTGCCCTCCGCTGACTCACCCTGTTCTCTAGCCCCAGCGGCTGGCAAGGGCCAGCCCCTGGACGGGACGTTCTTGCGTGGACTACCAACTGGGGGACCTGGCAAAGACTCCTCCCTGACTTTTTCCCCATGTCAGGCAATCCTGGAGAAGTATCGAACCATCCACAGCACAGGCTTTCTGGCTTCTAAGTACACAGGCCCTTATTCTGGGGATCCCAAGCAAGCAGTACCCGAGGGGCCCTCCAGTCCTTGGACCCAGCTTGGCCAGCCGCTCGGACCGCCTTGCCAGGATGCAGTGCCAGCCCATTACCCACTGCCTCCACCTCCACAGGCCTTGCCCTGCCCTCCATCTTGTCGTCACCCAGAGAAGCAGGGAAGCTATGGCCCTCTGCTCCCACTGCCACCTCTGGGTGCACACAAGGGGCCTGGGTACCAAGCTGGTGGGCTGGGCAGCCCCTACCTGAGGCAGCAGGCATCCCAGACCCCCTACTTGCCTCCTGTTGGAATAGACACGTATTCTTATTCCTCTGCACCCCTCCCAGCACCCTCACCAGGGCTCAAGCTAGAGCCCCCTCTTGCTCCACGGTGCCCGCTGGACTTTGTCCCCCAAACTCTGGGTTTTCCTTATGCCAGGGATGATCTCTCTCTCTATGGGGCATCCCCAGGGCTTGGGGGAACACCACCTTCGCATTCCCAGAACAGTGTGCAACCTGTGCCACAGCCCAGTGCCTTCCAGAGAACATGCCAGCCTCTGCCAGCCAGCCAGCCATGCTCCGAGCCTGTGAGACCTGCAGAGAAACCACCGGAAGCTCAAGAGAAGACATGGCTACCCAGCTGCAGGAAAGAGCAACTCCAGCCCAGGCCTGATGAGCGTCCTGGGGTCCCTATTGTCATCCGAGACAGCCCAGTTCCCCGCACTTCACCAGCGCTGCATCCGTGTGCCAAGGAGCGCCAGTCTCTCCCACAGAAAGGTGCCAGGCCTCCCAGCTCTCCACCAATGCCTGTGATTGACAATGTTTTTAGTCTGGCCCCCTACCGTGACTACCTGGACGTGCAGACACCAGAGCCCACAGCTGAGCAGGACTCTTCTCCAACCACCAATAAGAGCCAAGACAAAGATTGCAAGGGGCCCCTGCCTGTCCAGGATGAGACCTCTAGGCCTCCCTGCTCTCTTCGTGAGGAGGTGGCTCTGGACTTGAGTGTGAAAAAGTCTATGACAGAGGCTGTCCCTGTCAAGGTCCCTAGTCCTGAGGTACATGGTAAGCCCACTGAAGCTGTGGATAGGCCAGGTATGGAAAACCCCGTGTCAGGTCTGCCGGGCCTAAAAAAGATGGTCACAGAAATATCTGAAGTGGCCACAGAAGCCACACCAAGGACCAACTTCCACAGCTCTGTGGCCTTCATGTTCCGAAAATTCAAGATACTCCGTCCTGCACCGTTACCTGCAACTATTGTCCCATGCCCCCCTACCCCAGCTCCTGCTCCTGCTCCGCCTGCACCCAACGCCCCATCTGTACCCGTGGGACTGCAGATTCTCACTCAGCCTTTGCCGGTGGCGTGCTTCAACCTGGCCCTGCCAAGCCCACCAGCCATAGCCGTGGCCTCCCCGGCCCCAGCCTCTGCTCCGACTCCATCACCAGCTCCAGCCCCTGCTCCCGCCACAGGCCCCGCTGCAGTCACTGCTCAAGTTTCCACTGCGACCCCAGCCGACTCCCTAGAACAGCACTTTACAGGGCTGCACACATCACTCTGTGATGCCATCTCGGGCTCCGTGGCCCACTCTCCACCAGAGAAACTCCGTGAGTGGCTTGAGACAACTGGGCCATGGGGCCAGGCTGCGTGGCAGGACTGCCAGGGTGTGCAGGGGCTGCTGGACAAGCTGCTGTCCCAGCTGCAGAGGTTTTTGTGCACACAACAGTGCCCCTTCCCTCATGTAGTACGAGCTGGTGCCATCTTTGTGCCCATCCATCTGGTGAAGGAGCGTCTCTTTCCGAAGTTGCCGCCTGCCTCTGTGGACCACGTGCTGCAGGAGCACCGTGTAGAGCTACGGCCTACCACTCTGTCAGAGGAGCGTGCACTTCGTGAACGTGCCCTACATGGCTGCACCTCACGAATGCTGAAGCTGCTGGCCCTGCGCCAGCTGCCTGATATCTACCCTGACCTGCTGGGCCTGCAGTGGCATGACTGTGTACGCCGCCAGCTGGGTGAGCATGGGGCAGCCATGTAGCCACTGGAGCTGTGTGAGCGAGTGACAGGTGTGTGTACTGCTTGTATGGCCGATGGTCAAGGGTCTGAATGATTCCAGGAACTTATGCTGGGAGAGGGGGTGGGTTTCCTTGCCCTCTTGACCATCTAGGCATCAGTGAGAGCTATTTGCACAGAAATGTTCTAGGTCCCCTTCTAGGTAGTCTCCTTCTCTATTTATATGTCTGTGTCTTGTGTAGGCCTTCCGGCACTTGGGCCAGGCATGTTTTCCACCCGAAGTTTTCTCTTCCAGTGTCTTCCGCCTGAGCACTAGCCCTCAGTAATCCACTCCATTCTTGTTGGCCTTCCATCCGCAGGATGAGGCGGGGCTCCACACAGGCACATGCCTTTGAATGTACGTTTTCTCTGGTCTCCTGGCACTTGCACACACCCGTGTTGCCCTGAATTGGAGAATTGTTTGTGGCTCTCTTTTCCTCCACAATGATGCATTGTCCTGGTTCTTCAGGTTCTCAGAGTGTCCTCAGACTCCCAATGCTCCTGTGCCTAATACCTGATTACGGTCATATGCCACTCTCGCTGAGCTGTGGAACTTGCTTTTTTTTTTTTTTAATCTGTGTGTTGGGGATACAGGGGTGGCATGGCCTTTTCTTGAGTGGTCTTTTCTTGATCAGTAAATTGATTTCTACGTTCCTAAGTTTTTCCTTCCTTCTGTCACACATTGTTGCCTCCTAGTCCCTTACCCAGCCATTTTCCTGAACAATATATTCTACTTCCTTGACTAGCTGGGCCTCCCTGACCCAGGACAGCTCAGGTCAAGGTAGAGAAGGCCTGAGGCAAAGTACTGCCGTGGAACGGGGCCCCTAGCTGACCCACTTTCCTGATTCTTGCCCTATCTGGGCCCGAGGACCCGGTTCCTTTCCTGGTCAGCCTGCTTGTTGGAACTCTGATCCAGTTAAAGTGCGGCTGCCTGCCACTGATAAGGTTTGAAGACCCTTATCCCACATTCCTTTCCTGAGCTACGAGTACCCCTGGAGCAGTGTTCCTCATGACCCCTTGGGGGAGAATCCAGTGACCCTTTCATAGGGGTTGCATATCAGGTTTGCTTCTGTCTAGGTTCCCGTGCTCTGCTGGCAGCCTAAGGAGCCTTCCTCCAGCTTAACTGTCGCCACAGCAGCCTGGTCTTTGGCTCCTGCCCTGGGGATTTGTGGCAGAAAGATAATGGCTCTCATAGGGCATAGCCTTCTTTGCACGCTGTAATTTATTCAGCTGTGTGGGGAGGTGCCCAGCCAGTGTCTCCTGACCTGCAAGCCTCCTTCCTCATGTTTGCTCCTAAGCAGACATTCTGAGCCGTGTTCTCACCAGGTGGAGCTCTGGTGTCCTCGGGAAGGAGCGTGTCTTTTCAGCAAGCTCCCACCGGTCTGGTCAATGTGAAGAAGGGCTGCCTGTGATGGTTGTGACCCTGGAGGTGCTGTCAGCCATTGTGGGGCAAGCAAAACCCAGAGACTAGGAGGTGGGACTTTGAAGTTTGAATTTTGCAGTCTGACTGTGCTTTCCTTTTGTAGGTGGCTTTAACAGCGAGGCCAGAACTTTACCCCCATCAGAACTCACAGTGACCAGAGATGAGCCAGAAAGCCAGGCCCTGGCTCATGAGTCACCAGCCACCAAGGTCAAGAAGCCAGGGAGGAAGCCACCAACACCCGGCCCTGAGAAAGCAGAGACAACCACTGGGGAAGGGTCACGTGATCCCTTGCCCAGCTCTGGTGCCTGCACTAGCCCACCAGGTCCTACCCTGAGGGCACGCTTCCGCAGCCTTCTGGAAAACGCCTGGCTCAATGGTGTGGCACTGCCTACTTGGGGCCACAAGGCCTCAGGACCAGACCGACCTTCGCCTCACCCCCAGCTTCTGGGCAGCCAGAGCCATCACCTTTAGCATTGGTACCTAGTGTTTTTGGGACAGTCATCTGGGGACCTGTCTTGACATCCAGCTGCCCAAAACTAGGAGTGGATAATGGGGCTGGGCCCACCTACCTGGGCAGAGACTTCTGAACTTTGAACTTGAGGGTCTGTGGTAGAAGAAAAAACCTGTGGGCATTGGAGCCAACCCGACCTGGCCTTGAATCCTGGCTGCTGTGTTCCTTGTTGCGTGTCCTGGGCAAACACTTCACCTCTCATGAGCCCTTGTTCCCCATTTGTAGAATAAGACAACACAGCCTACCTCACCAGGGTTGTTGTGGGGATGACGTCTGACATATACCTATTGTGATTTGGTCTGCTTGCCCAGGACAGGCCTTTGATAGTCAGAGGAGGCTGGTAAGTCTCCATGTGTCTTGGGACCGGTTACCTTAGAGTGGTACATTGTATAGTGTATATAGCTCACACACACTTCCCGAGTCCACTGCTGGTGCAGGGACCTGGCCTGGGGCTGGCCCGAAGACCCTAGGTCTGCTCTGATCCATACCAGTGACCTACCTGGGCTGCATCTCATACCCAAATAAAGTTGTACCAAGCAGCTATAGGGACCTGACAGGCTGTCAGCTCAATGCTAGGAGGTCTCTGAAGATCTGGACTGGGGACTGGTATTTCCCAAGGCTCTTAGGGCCTCCTTCCTGTAGTGGGCTGAGCTCAGCTGGTGGCTGGCAAGCTGTGGCTCCTGCCTTATTTAAGGGTTTTGATGAGACTGGGCCCTGGGGGCCAGCTATTAAAGCATTTGGGTTGTTTTTGAGAGATTATGAGTTAATGTTGCATATCGCCCTTCCCCTATAGGCTGCCTCCCTTTCTCCTGCCCGGAATGTACTCTACTGTGGGTCACTTCTGGTCCTACTAGCCACTCCTTCTAGCTAGCCACACCAACCTGGGGAAGACCTTCCCACAACTATAGAGAATCTTGGAGACTGGTGGTCTTCTAACTACTGGTTACCACGTTTGTGTGCCTGCCTCCTGGGACTGAAGATGTGCCCACTAGAGTCTGGAACTGTCACCCCTTCCTGTGCATCCCATCAACCTTACCTGTTGAGGTGTCCCGAGGCCCACCTTCAGCACCCCGCCCTGCCCATTTTCCTGCACATGGCTTTCTTCCACCTCGCTGGAACTATGCCACCGGTGCTCACCAGGGCTGTATGTGCAGCCGGCTTGTGCCCAGCTATCTGGCCGCTTGAATCGGTCTGACCTTGAGCACCTGGGATTTGAAGGGGCAGCTGCTGTTTTCCTTGTGCGGGCCCAGGAGGACCCGATGTGTGTGATCAGAGCACCACATGGTTAGAGCACATGTATGTGTGTGTCTCCCTCCGCCTGATGATGTTAATCTAAACCACCTCAAACACATCCCTCTAAGCACAATAGCTGCATTAAATTCCCATCCTCTCATCCCACAGTGGGGATTAAATCTCAGGGTGAACTCTTGGGGGGTTGTGTTGAAACTACATCTAGATCCAGCACCTGGCCTTCGAATTTGGTGGGAATGGTCATTGCAGGAATCCTCAGGAGAGGGCTGTCAATCTGCCTCACTCCCTTGTTAGATGACAGCCGTGCTTCAGGGTACCATGTTTCTACCCCAGGGCCAGAGACTTGAGTCCTGTGCTGTGCATCAACAGCATACAGGTCCTTCACTTGAAATTAGTTCCACGAGCTCCTGATTTTGAGGCCATCCCCAAGTGCCCTTTAAGCTGTTCGCACGTCACTGACTGTCGTCCCTTTATATATGCAGCCAGGGCTGTCCTCAAACGTTTATCCTGCCTCAGCATCCAGTGCTAGGGAAGTAGATAAGAGGTTTAATCAAATTGCCAAGCTGACTCAGGAAGCAGGGGCACCATGTTCCTTCAAGTTATAGATGGAGAAACCTAGGGACAGGATTTGCTGCAGGCTTACATGAAGTCAGGGGCTGTGTGAAGACTCAGTCAGCTCTTAAAAAGAAAAAAAAAAAAGACAACCTGAAAAAAAACAGTTAAAAAAAAGTCTCCGTCAGCTCTGGACTGTGGTATGCTGGTGGTCTGCCTCCTGCTCAGGTCTCCAAGGCCTATCCCAGACCTGCTGAGCAAATGTGCCTCGGGGCATGATGGCTAGACCCACACATCACATCTGTGGGTTAATGCCCGGAAGGTGCTCAGGTTCTTAAGGCTCCAGCATGGGGAAACCTGGCCTTAAAGCCCAAGACAAGGTTTTGCTGACAAGTAGGGGCTGCGAAGTGAGTGGAGGAAGTTTTCTTCCAAGTTGTGTTCTTGAGAAAGGAAGATTGTCTTTGCTAACCCGCGTATGCCTTCTTCCCTAGTTTGCTGACTGGGTTGGGCCGATCATTGTCAGCTCCTCAAAGCAGCTGGGAGCATGGCCTGAGTGCCTCTCTGGTTCCCCCTGCTGGAGATGGAGGGGTGCTTCTAACTCCACCTGACGCCTCATCTGAGGCGTTCTACTGAGGGCAGCCAGCAAGTACTATTGTTTGTTTGTTTGTTTGTTTGTTTTGGCCAGCTGTTGTCTTGCATGCTTTCTGGGCCTTCTCCCTGACTGCCATCTCCACTGACAGTGCAGCCTTTTCAGGGTTCCCCTTTTTCAGCAGGAAGGACTATGGAGTCTCTCCTTTCTGGCTGGCCAGGGTGGCTGTGCCATGCTGAGGTTGGCAGGCAGGTGGGGCTTCTTGTGTAGCTTGGACACACATCCTTGGGCGAAGTCGTGATGACCACCCTAGGGGCTCGGTGTACATGACACCTGGACACCCACCCTGGCTCTAACCCTGCATGCTCTGTGTATACACACTGGTTCTTGATCTCTCATATTCCTAAGTGTGGTCTCCATTTCATGGTAGTGTGTGGTGGCAGCAGAGCCTGGCAGAACATTCTACGGGACCTGACTCCTTTTGTCCTGACCCACCTGTGCATGCTCCTGGAGAGGTCGGAGCTACGGGAATAAGGAGCCCCAACCATGGACACAGGACCTCGTGTTTTTCCCAGTTTTATGCAGCGTGGAGGTGGGGTGTGGCAGGAGATTGAAGACAGTCAGTCTCAGGCTTGCCCTTTCTGCTCTAGCAGCCTGCAGCTTTAGTCCTCAGGGCTGAGGTGCTGTCTGGAAGCCCCAGGTGAGGTGAGGTAACCTAGGAGAGGTAGGGGGTTTGCTTCTTGGTGAAATGGGGAGCAGCACCAAGGGCCACCTGGGGGTATAGAAAAGACACAAAAGCCAGGAGTTAAAAATGTCCAGAAAGAAAATGGAACGTGGTAGCCCATGCCCTACCTCTTGGAGGCTTAGGCAGGTCCCACTGCAAATTTGAGGCCAGCTTGGGCTGTGTAGCAAGTTAAAGATCAGTCTGGCTACATGGTGAGAAAACTGTCAGGTACTTGCTGGCTGGTGCTGCCCTCTCCCATCTACCTGGTCAAGGTGGAGTGCGGGCAGGAATTGAGTTGACATCATCTGCAGAGGACCTGGAGTGGTCGTTGACAGCACCCTTGTGTGGTGGGAGTGAGACCCCTCTGCACATCTCCATTCTCCGCCCCAGGTCTCCCCTTGTGGCCAAAGTTCTGCTTTAGTCACCCTAGCCCATGTCCGGAGCTCAGGTAGCTTCTGGGAGGGGTCAACCTGACCACCCCTTGGCTTCTACCCAAGGCAGGGTAGATCCCTGTTACATGAATGGCACCAGCCAGCACGGTGGCAGTAACTCAGCAGTAACTCAGCAGAAGATTAGGTAGATCACGCAGAGATCTCTCCTCCACACCATCTTCCCAGGGCAACCAGGCTGATTAGCCTCTGCTTGCCTGACAGAAGAAGGCCCTCCACACCCTTGTGTGGTGCAGCCACTGCTGTGGTGGGGGTTTCTGTCCTCCAGCCTGAACTATGGAGGTGCAGCCTCGGGTGGAGAGTATGCCGTTCTAGCTGGCATGTGAGGAGAATTCAGGGTCAGGTGTATAACAGGCGGCTGAGCTTTTGAGTTAAGGCCTTACAGGCTCCGCTTGTGTCTTAGGGAATAGCTCGTGTCTGGCCAGACTCACCAGGACAAGAAGAGGCGTGATGAGCTGGAGGGTCAGCATGGACACATGGCCAGGGCCTCTGGAGGCTCTGGAGCTGGGGATGCCTGGAGCAGAATGGGAAGGCAGAGTGGGTTTTCCATTCTCAGCCCTCAGAGTCTTGTCGGCGTGATGGCTGTTCCCAGGATACTTGGAGCCAGTGTACCCGTTCACGGGGAGGGTAAGAGCAAACATGGCCATGCAGGGCTGAGTGCCAGAGGGAGGGCCAGGCTGGCAGAAACAGCAAGGCCAGAGATCGCAGAGGGACGGAGGGCATGGACAGCCACTGACCAAGGACTGGGACGAGCATCTCTAACTGGAGACCTTCAGTTTCCTGCAGGAAGCCCAGCGCTCGGTGCATGCAGTCTTGAATGATAGCCTGGGCTGGTGCAGCCCCAAAGAAGGAAGCTTGCACTTTGGCAGTCAGTGGCTCCTGCCTGGGAGGATCATTACCCACCTTAGAGGGCTGGAGAGATGTAGAGAGACCCTCTCATCCGCCCCAGGACCCACCCTCTGAACTGAACACTCACTGGAATTCCTCCACCACCACTTGACCAAAGTCATGCAGAGGCTTGAGGACTGAGGTTAGCTGAGGTCACAAGACAAAAAAGTGTTACGGTTATACAACCTAGGTCAGCCACACCCCTTTCTCTGTGCCTCCATCCCCTCACGTCACCCGTTTTGTCAGCAGTCTGCGAAGCTCCTGGGACTCAGAGCTAGTCTTGTTCTCCAAGGCCTTGCCGAAGGGGTGACCCAGGATCAGGAGCTGTGTCTCGTAAAGCACCAGCTCTGCTTTCTCCCCTAAGGTGATGGGGTGGGGTGGTGATAGCAGTCAGAACTCCTGTCTTCTGAGAGCTCTGGGGTAGGACCACACCCTGACTCAGGGTGGCTTGCCCAAACCCACTGATTCCATCTGGTGGTCAGCACACAAGCTTTGCACACAGCCTGGGGTATGTGTGTAGTAAGGCCTAGAGAGATAGGCTGACCTAGAGCAATACATGGGGTCCAAGATCACTCACCATTGGCCACCAGGCTGGATTTCTGGAGAGTGGGGTCTGTTATGTGATGGGCCAGGTAACTGGCCAGGCCTCGGAGGTGAGTGGGGATGGGCCTCTTGAACTTGTATTCCATGTAAATGCTCACCCACTCATTCACATTGCTAGGGAAGGATGGGAGAATACAGTGTCATGGGCTCTTGGTCAGTGCATGCTTCTAGAAACAAGTGTTGAACTCCTAATTATACACCCCATGTTCCCACCTCCAAGAGCAGAACTCTGTGAGGCAGACTCAAGCATGCTTAGTCAAAGCCCTTGGTGGTCTCCAGTCTACACCTGTATCTCCTGGCTTTGGGTTAGGGGTGGAGTTGCCCTAGTGATACACCTCCAAGAGAGTTGTCAAGTAGGCTGGGGAATCAGGGATGGGGCAGCAAGAGGACTGGACAGACCAGATGGGATACTCAACCTACCTGAATAGGAGCAGGGGTTGGTCCTGGGGATTAGCTTTGTAGAATCTTAATACCTCATGGGTGACCTGTAGGAAGTCCTGGAAGTCAGGTTGTCTAGGAGATGCTTATCCTGAGACCCAGTATGGGGTGAGTCAGGTACTAGATAGATAAGGCAGGACCTGAGAGCCTTCTGTAGTGTAGTGTGGTCTCCTGGGCAGGGATTCTGGTGACAGCCTGGCCACTGACTTCCCTCAGAGCTTTCTCCTCCTTAAACAGCCCCCTCCACGCTTGCTTCCC